AGAGCGTGGTAGTCCATTATCAGGTGATCAGGGCTTCTCCTGTCTGCATCATTAGTGCCCACATGGATTAGGACCATGGGGTAGTAATTGGTGGGCTAGATCACGGCCTGGATTACCCCTGTCACATCCTGAATCTTTGCTCCAGGCAGGCAATAGACCTTGCATGTTGAGGGGTCCTGGCAACAGATGGGACCCTTCGTACCTCTCAGGATGGAATCATCAGGTGATCAGGGCTTCTCCTGTCTGCATCATTAGTGCCCACATGGATTAGGACCATGGGGTAGTAATTGGTGGGCTAGATCACGGCCTGGATTACCCCTGTCACATCCTGAATCTTTGCTCCAGGCAGGCAATAGACCTTGCATGTTGAGGGGTCCTGGCAACAGATGGGACCCTTCGTACCTCTCAGGATGGAATCGCCTATGATGATCACTCAATGTTTCTTCCTCTGGGTCTGCTTAGCTCCTTCAGCCTGTTCAGAGTGTGGAGAGTGTGGAGTGGCCTCCTCTCCAGAGGTTTCCTCCTCTCCTTCCTTCTCCTGCAGTGTCACCAGGGCCTCGTACCTGTTCTCCAGCCAGACTGGAGGAACTGGTACTGCTCTGCTGCGAGCAGCCCTGGCTCTGGACGGGACCATCTGCCACTCTGCTGTGGAGGGCACCTCCCGGGATGCTTCTTCCTTGAGTGCCTGGTCCTGCAGGGAAAGGAAATAACCATCAATTTCATCCTCCGCCTCCCTGATTCCCCTCAGCCTGCTAAGCTCCTCCTGGAGCTCCCACGCCTGTGCCTCCATGACCCCAAGACAGGTGTCCGCAGAACAGGTGTGGGGGCCCCCATTCCTTGCCCCCCCCAGCCCCGCTGGGCATCCCCCACAGGCCGGAGGGCCGGGGGACACCATCTCCCCCATGGGCTCTGCCTGGGTGGAGGCCTCCCCGGGCAGGGACTTAGCAGCAATCCAACTCAACAGCATTTTAAAAATGATATTTATTTATATTATTGTGTAGTACCTTCACCCTACCCTTGCTGGAGTCTCCCTCCTGGACCCTCCCGCTCACCCGCCTGCACGAACGCCGGTGCAAATGCCGGTGTGCCCTTACAAAGCTCACCTGTTTGCAAGCTCTGTTCGCTCGGCACGGCTCAGGAGCGTGGCTCCCTACCGGCTCAGCTAAAAGGAATCCGGGGGCTTCCCCTCCAGATCCAGTTTTGCTGGCTCCCTCTGCCCCACTTACCTTTGGGGGATCAGCTGTTGCTGCCCCCACTGCTGGCTCCGCTGCTCCGCTCCGTCCACCTCCGCCTCCACCTTGGTCAGGTAAGGGGGCATACGTGTGGGGGGACACACGTGTGCCCAGTTCCCTCCTCTCCTCTCTGCTCCTGGCTCCCTTCAGGGAGTTGAAGGCTGCTATTCAATCCCCCCTCATTCTTCTCTTCTCCAGACTAAATTAAGCCCATGTCCTTCAGCCTCTCTTCATCCATCCTGTTCCACAGCATTCGGACCCTCTCCATTGCCTTCCAGTGGACTCTCTTCAATCTCTTCTGTAGTGGGGGGGCCCACAACTGGACACAAGACTCCAAGTGTGGCCTCACCAGTGCTGAATAGAGGGGAAGAATCACTTCCCTCGATCTGCTGGCAACGCTGCTACTAATGCAGCTCAGGATGCCATTAGCCTTCTTCTCAATAAGTCACACAAACACCCAGACACACATACACACACTCACTGGAATCCCACACCTGCCAGGAATTTGCTTGTTCAGGCATTTATGTCAGCCCTTCCAGCTCGCTCTGGGCCCAAGAAGCCTGCCTCTCTGCTCCCTCCCAGAGTCACACTCATAGCACCTGGCTGCTTGCCCACAGCAGGACATCTCTATCCAAATCCCTGCATTAGCAAAAGAGGAGCCTCATTGCTGTGACACGTCACAGGCCTGAAAAGGCACCTTTTGTTTTGACTCTGGGACAGGGTGGCATCTGGTCTGCTGGGAATCCCTGATAGCAAAGTGTTGTAGAGAAGCAGCTGGGAGGGACCTCCAGAGGTCACAGCTAGTCCAAACCCTGGCTAAGGCAGGATAAGCCCTGTCCCCACCATCCCAGATTCATCCATCATCTAAACTCTTTGCAAAACTATCAACACCACACATCACATCAGACTCTGCCACAGGGAAAGCAGGAGGACCACAGTGGCCAATGTCCTGTTTCTACGAAAGGTCCTTAATATATACACTCAAGAGATCCCAGGTAGATGCTGTGCCCCCTGCTATAGAGGAAGTTAACCCCCACCCCACCCCCCACACACATACACAGACAGACTCCATAGCAATCTGACCTTAGGGTAAAATTCCTTCCTTATTCCAAATATAATAATCAGACGGACCCTGAGCAGAAAGGCAAGACCCTTTAGCCAGGACCTTCAGAGTTTGAGTCCCAGCTGGAGCATTGGCACAGCCCAGTCCCCACCCCCAGCCTCTGAGAGAGGCTTAAAAGTACCCTGATACATGGAGCCGG